ATGAACAAAAGACAGCCGCTTACATCGACGCATAGGTCGATATCGATGGATTGACCGTCGACGAATATATGAACTTGATAACCACATCAATCATCGATGTAATGCTAAGCAGTTATGTTCTCTACTCGTTTTTGATCATCGATCTTCTAATTGATACACGCACATTTTAAATCAACGATAATCATCCACTGACAGTTCAAGTTTAAAATATATATTAGGAACAAATTTTTTTTTCCAATTCATACTATTCAATAGACAATATTTTCTTTCCAGCACACCAGAGTGTACATGTGGATTTGGGCATACATAGGTGTGCGCGTGTGGCTGCAGTGCATATGTGTGGATGAAAAGAAAACCATCCCCATCCCGACACCCACACCCTTGGTTGGCTCTAATTTTTATTCAACAATTTCGAAAAAAGAAAACAATGGACAAACAGATATCATTGTGTTTTTCAATAGTTTTTGAATCTTTGTGTATCAGAAATGGTGTCTCGAAATGATCTTGATTTAGAACAGCAAAATGAATTTGATTAAAGATAAAGAACTTGGTTTATCTTACCGTGAATGACGAGATAGATTTCAAGTTTCTATCGGTGCTGTGTCAAATATTCTTAAAAGAAAAAATGAATATGTTACTGACTATGACACTAATCTGAAAAAAAAAGGTGAAGCGCACGGTGAATCATGATCCTAGAAAAATTACTGAAGAAATCGGTGATTCATCATGTTTTAAAGCTAGTAATGGTTGGTTAGAACGATTTAGAAATTGTTATAGTGTACGTTTTCGTGTTATTTCTCGTGAAAGTACAATTGTTGATAAAGATACAATTGAAGATTAGAAAATACGTTTACCAACAATTTTCGAACATTATAATCCTTTTGATGTATATAATTGTGATGAAGCGGACCTGTTCTTCAAGTTAAGGTCCTATCGGTCTCTGGTTGTTCATGAAGATGATTGCATTAGGTGGTAGAAAGTCTAAGAAGAGGTTCACCGCGTTGTTTTGTGCCAACTGGGCTGGTACAGATAAGTTGAAGCCAGTGGTAATAGGTGAGTTGTTATTTACTTATGCCATTTATGATGTGTTTTATGTTTTCATTAATTTCAGGTAAAGCTGCAAAGCCACGGTGTTTTAAAAATCTTGATATGGCAAAATTGCCTATAACCTGGCGGTATAATCGAACAGCATGAATGAATAGTACCTTATTTACTAATTGGTTATACGAATTTGATAAAATGATTCAAAAACAAAAACGTCAAATTTTCCTGTTCTTAGATAATGCACCAGTACATCCACCTGATATCAAGTTAAAGAACATCGCCATTAAATTTTTCCCCGCTAATACAACAGCTGTTATTCAACCTATGGATCAAGGTATAATTCGAACTTTCAACGCTTATTGTCGAAAACATCTTGTTCAACATATTATTGCAAATGTTAATGGTGCCTATTCAAGCGATTATGTTGTCATAACGGTATTATATACTGTTTGTTGGATTGATTCTGCTTGGAAATTCATCACAGAGACAATTCTACGTAATACATTTAAAGAAGCTGGACTTGATAATGCTGTTGTTTCTCCAGATTCGATCTTGATACAAACAACATTTACCAATGAAAATAGTGTTGAACAAGAAAATAAATGTTTACATGAACTTGATAACATACTTAAACATTTAACAATCGATGATGATTTCATTTCAGCAGCTGATTTTGTCGTGAGTTTTTCATCATCACTTTATAGTCTCTAACAATAAATCCTTACAAGTCTTATTTT